TGTACAGTGTGGAAACAGACCCTTTGATCCAACTTGTCTATGCCAACCAGATATCCTAAATTAATCTAGTGCCAATTGCCAGCATTGGCCAATATCTCTCTAAACCTTTCCTATTCATACACCATTCAAATGCCTTTTAAGTATTGAAATTGTACCAGCCTCCACCTCTTCCTCTGGTAGCTCATTCCGTACACTCACCACCATCTGCATGAAAAACTTGTTCCTTAGGTCCCTTTTATGTCTTTCCCCTGTCACCTTAAACTATGGCCTCCAGTTTTGTACACACACACCTTGGGGAAAAGACCTTGCTATTCACCCTATCCATGCCCCTCATGACTTTACAAGCCTGGATAGGGTCACCCCTCCGCCTCCAACGCTCCAAGGAAAATAGCTCCAGCCTATTCAGCCTCTCCCTATGGCTCAAATCCTCCAATCCTGGCAACATACTTGTAAATCTTTTCTGAACCCTTTCAAGTTTCACAACATCCTTCCTAGAGCAGGGAGACCAGAATTGAATGCAGTATTCCAAAAGCGGCCTAACCAATGTCCTGTACAGCCACAACATGATATCCCAACTCCTGTACTCAATGCACTGACCAATAAAGGTTAAGCATACCAAATGCCGCCTTCACTTCCTGTTGACCTGGGACTCTGCTTTCAATGAACTATGAACCTGTACTCCAAGGTCTCTTTGTTCAGCATAACTCCCCAGGACCTTACCATTAAGTGTACAAGTCCTGCCCCGATTTGCTTTTCCAAATTATAGCACCTCACATTTATTTAAATTAAGCTCCATCTGCCACTCCTTGGCCCACTGGCCCATCTGATCAAGATCCTGTTGTTCTGAGGTAACCTTCTTTGCTGTTCACTACACCTCTAATTTTGGTTCATCTGAAAACTCTACGTTCACATCCAGACTCATTATATAAGCAATGAACAGCAGCGGACCTAGCACCGAACCTTGTGGCACGCTGCTGGTCACAGGCCTCCAGTCTGAAAAGCACCCTCCACCATCACCCTCTGTCTTCTACCTTTGAGCCAGTTTGTGTTCACTTCCTCAGATTGGTAGAGAATGTACATGTACATGTATGGTTTCTATGGATGGTGAAGCATAAATTTTGTGTACCTGTCAATTTACTCCACAACCCGAGCTATAAATCTTAAACTCTAAAGGGTATTTCACTGAATGCTACATCCGTGTTCAGCCTCTTTTACAAGAAATAATCACACTTTTCAAAGATTTTAGTGCGGTCATCCTCAAAACTGAAACTGATGGAACATTCAAATTCCTTAACTATGTCCTGGTCTGTTTTACTCAGTGGGTCTGTTAGTAATTTAGCCAGCCTGATTCACACATGGTAGACATGCATCCATTGTGCAATACTGCACAATGCAAAGACTTACTATTACATTCATCACTGGCTGAAACCTCTTATGACCAATGTCCTGTCATTGATCTGTGTCTCCTCCACCACGACCACCTAACTCCTTTGTTCTGTTTGGTTTTGACCGGCTTACAGCACGTGGGAGAGTTCATGGTTAGTGATACTCCATATTGTACTTGAAACATGCATTAACTGCACCCTGAGTATTTCTGGGGTTCGTTCAACCATTGAAAGTTCCAATTTCTCTTTGTTTCTCAATTTTCAATAGGATTTCTGTGCACACTTCTATTGGGTATAGTTCCTGCTTTGTACTATCACCTGCAAAGTGTATCAAGATGGTCTTACCAATTTGTTAACATTGTGTCCTTGTTTTCTGTCATATTATAGATTCCTCCCTTTGAGCTATGACTTCTGTTGTGAAGGAATTCTTCCCTCAAGTTTTTTCAGTGCTTCTGACATTTGTTCTAGTTCTCCCTGCTTATCTGCAGATTTAACTCTTTCATAACTAGAAGTCTGACCATTCTTGATACTTTAGCATTGTTCGAAAATTCAAATGTGCGCATATTGGGGAATTTACAAATTAAATTTCTACAATCTACTGAATTCTATTACCTGCTCTTCCATTGTACTGTCCTCAGCCTTTCTAAATTTATCAAAATCTTACCTGCCTCCTAAGCAGTCAGTAGATGACGTTTCTGATAAATCTTATTCATGAAAATTGTCAATCTGTCCAAACCTTCATCTGTGTTCAAGTCACCCAGGCTCTGATTTCTTAAATTGAATCAGAGATAGTAGGAACTGCAGATGCTGGAGAATCCGAGACAACAAGGTGCAGGGCTGGATGAACACAGCAGGCCAAGCAGCATCATAGGAGCAGAGAGGCTGACGTTTCGGGCTGAGACCCTTCATCAGAAAAGGGGGAGGGGAAGGGGGTTTTGAAATAAATAGGGAGAGAGTTGGAGGCGGATAGAAGAGGGATAGAGGAGAGGATAGGTGGAGAGGAAACAAACAGGTCGAAGAGGCGGGGATGGGGCCAGGAAAGGTGAGTGTAGGTAGGGAGTTAGGAAGGGGATAGGTCAGTCCAGGGAGGAAATCCATCTTGGTTAGCAGGGTGAATGTGGTCCAAGGGACAGGCGAGTGAGTCAGAGACTTAAAATTTTAAAAATGAACTATGAGGGCATGAAAACAGAGCAGGCTAAAAGTAACAAATATCTCAATTGAGATGCAGGGGAAGACATTTAACAGAATAGTTCAGAATATAACAGAATAGATATAATCCAATGATTAAGAAACATCCAAGAGAAGGACCTGCCATCTGTAGTTAACTAGAAAGGTTAAAGATAGTATCAAACTAATAAAAAAAGTATATGGTTGTGCAGAGATAGGTTACACATCAGAAGACCGAATCAAATATAAAAAAAAATCCACTAAAAAAAAAATTGAGATAACAAGGTACAGAAGAGCTGGATGAACGCAGCAGGCCAAGCAGCAAAGGAGCAGGAAAGCTGACGTTTCGGGCCTAGACCCTTCATCAGAGTCCCTTCCTGCTCCTCTGATACTGCTTGGCCTGCTGTGTTCATCCAGCTCTACACCTTGTTATCTCAGATTCTCCAGCATCTGCAGATCCTACTATCACCAAAAAAAATTGAGGGAGAAATCTAAAAGCATTTTTTAAAATATTCATAGAACTCAACAAAAAGCAACGAGTTGATTTTTATAGAAAGTGAGACCTGAGGATTGATGGAAAATAAGGATATTACAGATTAATTGAATAAGTATTTTACAGTCTTCACTATACAGGATACAAGTAACATTCCAGAAACAGGAATAAAATCAGGAAATGAGTGAGGAACACAGGATAAATCATAGTTACCAGAGAAATGGTGCTGAGTAAATTGTTGGAACTGTGTGCTGACAAGTGCCTGGGCACTGAATGCCTTCATCCTATGGTCTTAAAAGAAATGGCTAGTAAGATAGTTTATGAATTTATTTTAATTTTCACAAACTCCCTTGATATGGGAACAGTTCATTAGATTGGAAGACAGCAAGTGTAACACACCTTTATTCTGAAAAGGAGACAAAGCAGGGAACTACAAGCCAGTTAGCTTAAAAAAAGCATGTTATCTAAAATGGTGAAATTGCAGAGCTCAGATGCAAACAGATTCTGGGTGTTCTATTGCATAATTCACAAAATGTTAGTATGCAGGTACAGCAAGTAACAGAACATTACAAGAGGAAAAGATTACACAAGTAGGAAGCTTATACAGGGCCCTGATGATACCACATCTGAAGTACTATGGTCCACACTGGTGTCCTTATTTAAGAAAGCACAGAACTGCCTCCAGCGCATTTACAAGAAGGTCTCAAGACAAACACCTGGAATTGGAATGTGTGGACTGACTTTAGTGGGAAGGTTTGACAAGATGTGCTTAAACCCATTGGAGTTGAGGTAGAAGAGATCATTTGATTGTAGTATCGTGAGAGGTCTTGAGGGTGGTTTTGGAGAGGATGTTTCCTTTTACTGTACTGGATGTAGTACTGGAAAAGTAACATGCAGGAGCTACAACAAGCTAGAAAGGATCACCTCAGCAATTCCTATGAACCACTGAACTATCTTCGCAGTCTTTTCCTCCACCTATAACACCCACTTGTTTTGTATACCCATCTGTGTCTCGGTATGTGCAAGTATGCATAGCAGAAGGTGGTTACAGTCTTAACCAGTAGTTAAAAGTCAATGGTTTGTAACTGTTCATCTGTAATAAATAGTAATTTGAATAAAACACAAAAAACTTGGTGTGCGCTGTCAACTTGCATGTAAAGGTGAGACAACCTGGATAATTTTAATGTATTTGTATAATATCTTTAACTTTCGTGACCACTCCAGGAACAGCCACGTTCAATTTCCAGTGAGACATAACAGTATGTACAAGTTTGTATTAAGTATTCTTCAGCTACCCAGACACTGTCCAGTCCATTGTAATTGCTTTTGCAGAAGCTTTGGCCAAACATTTATATAACAAGTTTCAAGGTCACTAACTTTTGTTACATTATCTGCACATTGCCTCTACAGCATTCATTCAATTTCTGGTGGAATTTCTCATGTGCACTTACATGCTGCTGACAGAGTCCAGGTCTCAATACAATGGAAGAGTGTAGTGAAAACATTTCTATACAGTAAGATGTGTGTTGACTTGAATAGGTCTTGGGCAAACATTGAGTTTTTACAAGATCCAGTGTTAGGCCTTCAGATTAATGGTAACCTTTGGACAAGAGGTAGCTGCCAAGATATCAACAACGCAACACATTCCATAATGTCTCCAATATAGTGGGAGGAGGAATATTTGACTGGCCAGGTATAGGTTGATACAAGTTTTCTTTTCGCAAATGTATAGGGACCAGCCAGATTTGTGCCCAGAATTGAGGAGATCAAAAGAGTAGCATGCAAATCTAGTGCAGAGTAGGTAATAACACTAGAGTCATCCACATGCTGTTGTGGATATTTATGGTGTTCAGTTTAGTTTTCATACAGACACAACTGAGGTTAGAGTTTCTCATCCATATGGTATGAATACTCAGACAGCAGTTGATCTTGGAAGTGAATCATCATTGCTAGGAGGCACTTTCTCAGCCTTGCGTGACACGGGCTGATGAAGGAATTTGTTTCTGATAAACAAAGAACAAAAAAAATTACAGTACAGGAACGGGCTCTTCGGCCCTCCAAGCCTTGCACCAACATGCTGCCAGTCACAACCAAAACCCTCTACCCTTCTGTGGACCGTAGACCTCTATTCCCATCCTAGTCATATATTTGTCAAGACACAACTTTAAAAGTCACTTTCGTATCTGCTTCCACTACCTCCCACGGCAGCAAGTTCCAGGCACCCACCACACTAAAAAACTTGCCTTGTATGTCACCTTTAAACCTTGCCCCTCACACCTTCAACCTATGCCCACTAGTAACTGACTCTTCCACCCTGCGAAGAAGCTTCTGAATGTCCACTCTGTCCATGCCCTTCATAATCTTGTAGACCTCTATCAGGTCGCCCCTCAGCCTCTGTCATTCTAATGAGAACAACCCAAGGTTCTCCAACCTCTCCTAATAGCTAATGCCCTCCATACCAGGCAATATCCTGGTAAATCTTTTCTATTCCCTCTCCAAAGCCACCACATCCTGCTGGTAGTGAGGAGACCAGAATTGAACAATATTCTAAATGTGGCCCAAGGTTCTATAAAGCTGCAACATTACCTGCCAATTTTTAAACTCAATGCCCCGGCCGATGAAGGCAAGCATGCCGTATGCCTTGTTCATGCATTAACTAAATCAATTTGCATTTTACCCATATTCCTGACTTTATTTGTTGTTTTGCTTACGTGTTTACCCTTTTATTAAAAGCTGTTATATAACCAATATCTGGTCAGCATGGACAAGTTGAACCAAAGGTTCTGTTTCCATGTGGTACAGCTCTATGACTCCATAGAGCTTTGTGTTGCGACATTATACACTTTTCACTGTATTCCTGTACTTTTGTGCTTGAGTACACATGACAATAAAATCAAAATCAATTTCTAGCCTCTGAATTGCTCTTCTAGCTACTGTATTTATATGTCTAGATAAGTGGTTACAAGAGCAGGTCAGACGCTAGAAATTCTGCAACGTACTAACCACCTACACAAGAGTCTTAAATCCTTTTATACTTAATTCTAATGCAAAGTCTCCACTGCCTGCTCATCACTTACGATATTCACTTACCATTGAAGCCATTTAATCTTTAAGGCTACTCCTCCTGTTCTAAAATTTCCCCATCTTTCCTCTAGATCTTACAACTTGGTGCCCTTAGTTCCCAATCATGATGGAATTCAACACTCAAATGTTGCTTTATCAAGGGTAGTCAGTCATTTTCACCTCACTTCTGTAATCCAATTTTTTCACCAATGTTTGGATCTAGGCTGTAATGAGGTCTGAAGCCTCAACAGTGAAACATTATCTATGAGCACCAACACTTTTTCCAGAGACACAGCTGCCCAATTCACAAGAACATACAGATCCGTCATAAATGTTTCAGAATTATAAGAAAGGCATCAATAAATTGTGGCGCTCGAACACAAGTTCTGTCTGTCTGATAAGTGTAGCTTCCCAGAATCACACTTTGTCAGGAGGAACAAACTTTTGATTAAGTATGCACCATCTTACTACCATTCAATGAAGTGAGTCAAAAGTGCCAAAAGATAGTCAGTGTTGATGGTAAAAAGCATTAGGTCAATTATAATGAAAGTGAAGAAAGTTAGAAAGAACAATTTTTTGCACTTGTAGAGGTGAATCATGGTGTGTGCTTGTCGAGTCTAGGAGTTTCATGCAAGGCTGATTATCACATAATCGTAGCTCACTCTCTAATAAACCAGACACCATATCAAAGCAGACCTTTCATATTTTATGAAAGGAATTTATCAAGATAAAGTTGCAATTAGAGATACTTGCAACCCCCAATCCTGACTCACTAAGCACAGGCCCATGTACACAAAATCACTATAATCAAACAGCTTCAATTATTGTTTCAACTCACTATTGCCAATAATCAACTAGGGACCAAATTCATAATTATCTATTACAAGTGTTAGCATAAACAGTGCAAGATAACAATTTCCACACTTTTTCCCATTCAGGGAAAGACTACAAACTTACCGAGTCACTGACATGGGGACAAAGATCAACAAGCTTACTGCCATCACTGGTACTCATTGAGCATCTAAAAGAGGAACAAACTATCAATAAATACATTAAATATGGATAATGCTAGTATTAAGTGGGATCAATAATGTAAACTAGTCCCAAATACAAAGCAAAAATACAGTACGGAGAAACAGCATTTTGTTAAACGTAGAACACAGCAGTAACACAGGATTAAGAGGAATAACAGAGCAATTAATATATAAAATCATAATGATGCCAGTTGCGATTCAGTTGGTAGCACACCTCAACTGAGTCAGAAGATTATGGATTCAAGTCTAAAGCCAGAAATAAGACATTAGTGTAGGCCAACTCTGCTAGTAGAGTGCTGAGAGATAGCTGTAGTCAGGAGATGTCATTTTTGTTGAGAAGTTAAGAATCAAGGGCATTGTTTTTTCTGTTAGGTACATGTGAAAGAAACAATGGCATATTCAGCAGATGGCAGCACAGTGGTTAGCACTGCCACCTCGCAGCACCAGGGGCCTGGGTTCAATTTCCCCTTGGGCAACCGTCTGTGTGGAGTTTGCACATTCTCCCCGTGTCTGCGTGGGTTTCCTCTGGGTGCTCCGGTTTCCTTCCACAGTCCAAAGATGTGCAGTCTAGGTGGATTGGCCATGCTAAATTGCCCAGTGTTCAGGGATGTGTAGATTAGGTGGTTTATAGGGGGACGGGTCTGGGTGGGATGCTCTGAGGGTCAGTGTGGACTTGTTGGGCCGAAGGGCCTGTTGTTTCCACACTGTAGGAGTTCTATGGATTCTATGGAGTTCTCTTCTATGTCCTAAACAATATTTATCCCTCAAACAGACAGCGTACCTGATCATTTATCCCATTGCTGATTATGGGACTCTGCTATGCATAAATTGGTGACTGGTTTTCCCAAACTATACCGACCATTTCAAAACTTTTTTCACAGTTGCAAAGCATTTTGGGATGCCCTGAGATCATGAAAGGCACTACACATACAAGTTGTTGGTTACAAATTCCAAATGCTTTTGTGAAATATTTCTCACATTTGACAGTCTTCAATCACATAATACATTGCAAAAAGATTCCCTAAACATCCCAAATATTATAGCTAATTGAAGTAAAATATAGCAAATGACCGAGAAGGGAAAACACTTATTCACACCTCCTGACAGTGTCAGACACACAACTGCAAGTTCGAAGGCTACTGGATGCATTTTGAAAGTTTCAATGTGCTGTTTTAAACAGGAATGAGGAAAAACATGCAACTCCAAAGGGACTAAATCTCCTTGTACTGTTCAACATGTGTTCAATATTCTGTAGTATGCTTAGTTTACAAAAAAAAAAGTGTTTAGAAAGTACATTCAGCTTAGTGGTGAGATTCTGTCCTATCTTTACAAAATAGGAAGGGTGGGCAATAAATGTCAGTCTGGTTGGTGATGCCAATATCCTGAACTGAAAAAGGAGTCAAGTGATTCTATTCAAATATAATGCTCAAATCAGTTAAACCAGCTATTCACACATATACTTTATCAAAATGAGATCGAACTTTGCCACAGACTAGAAACTGAATTTCAGGTCTAGGTGGCTGAAAATCAACTGAATAATACTTCTAGGTAATTAAGTGCACTTTAAAGTCAAATGCAAGGACAAGTCACACTTTCCATGGCCCCATTTTACACAACCATGTAACAATATACACAATTCATATGAAAAAGTATAAGTGATACCTGGCTCCATTTGATAGCTTTAGGATAAGCTGGGCCACAATGTTGTCAACCTTTCCTAGCCAGCAATCAAAGGCTATATAATCACCATAGACAAATGGCTGCAAAAGAACATCCAGTATTAAATAGATTTTTAAAAAATGTAGTCAGATCTGACTTAGTTACTTTTTATTTTAAAAATACATTATTCCACACAATCATGCATTCCAAAAGCAACTAGTCAAGTCAGCCATGTTATTCAAGAGCACAAGATTTGAGCAAACAGATATTTAGTTCCATGCATAGTTTCTGCAGATTCAGTGGTATTGCTGAAGGGGCTGGGATCTGCAAGCACTGGAGTGAAACAGCAGTTAGCAGCAGGAAGCCAAAAAGGCTAAAGTTATAGCAGGAAACGGAAACATTTCAGGACTGCAGGGAAAGAAAAAAAGCAGGAGAACTGGACAAATTAGCACTTTCAAACAATCAACACAGATATGATGGACATCATTCTATGCTGTGTGAAACCACAGAAGTAAAACAAGCTGAGACTGATTATGGATAGAAAATTTACTAAAGTAATAAACTTCAAGTTCAGAAAGTGAATAGGCTGAGGAAGACACATCTAAGGAATTCTCAGCAGGTCTGGCAGCATCTGCGGAGGAGAAAACAGTTAACATTTCTGGTCAGGTGACCCTTCCTCAGAACTGATGGTGTCTGGGAAAATGTCAGTTTATATGCAGAAAATAGGGAGGTGGGTGGGGTAGGGAGTAACCGATAGGATAGAGCCCAAAGAGAGTGAAAGACAGTTGGACAGACAAAGGAGTTGCTAACGATCAGGCTGGGAGGGTGAACAGTTGTTAATGGGGACTGTTAGTGACTAACAACAGGGGGTGTGTAGTGTCAGGCGGTGTGGTAACAAGGTGTGGGGTGGGGGGCTGGGACACGGGTGAGTTTAGGCCCTAAAATTATTGAACTCAATAATATTGAGTCCGAAGGGCTGTAGGGTCCCCAAGCGGAAAATGAGGTGGTGTTGTTCCTCCAGCTTGCGCTGGGCTTCACTGGAACACTGTAGCAAGCCGGAGACAGATGCTGGCCAGGGAGCAAGGTGGTGCATTGAAGTGGCAGGCAACAGGTAGTTCAGGGTCTTTTTTGCGAGCAGAACGTAGACGTTCCGCGAAGCGGTCGCCAAGTCTACGCTTCGTTTCCCCAACGTAGAGAAGACCACATTGTGAGCAGCGAATGCAGTAGACTAGATTCTTGGAAGTGCAGGTGAAGTGTTGCTTCACCTGGAAGGTATGTTTGGGCCCTTGGATACTGGGGAGGAAGGAGCTAAATGCGCAGGTGTTGCACCTTCGCCGGTTACAGGGGAAGGTGCCGTAGGGCTGTGGGGAGGTGTTGGGGGTGAAGGAAGTATGGACCAGGGTGCCACTAATATCCATTACAAACCCACCAACTCCCACAGCTACCTGGACTATACATCCTCACACCCCACTTCCTGTAAAGACTCCAACCCATTCTCTCAGTTCCTCCGTCTGTCGCATATGTTTAGATGAGGCCAACTTCGACAAGGGAGCCTCCGAAATGTCCACATTCTTCCTCAACAGAGGATTCCCCAGCATCGTTGTCGACAGGGCCCTCAATCGGGTCCGACCCATCTCCCGCACTTCTGCCCTCACCCCTTCTCTTCCCTCCCGCAAAAGCGATAGGGTTACCCTTCTCCTCACCTACCATCCCACCAGCATCCACATCCAGATGATCATCAGACGCCATTTCCGCCACCTCCAGCAAGATCCCACCACCAGACACATAATCCCCTCCCCTCCCTTGTCCGCCTTCCGCAGGGACTGTTCCCTCCGGGACACCCTAGTCCATACTTCCTTCACCTCCAACACCTCCCCACAGCCCTACGGCACCTTCCCTTGTAAACAGCGAAGGTGCAACACCTGCACATTTACCTCCTCCCTCCCCAGTATCCAAGGGCCCAAACATACCTTCCAGGTGAAGCAACACTTCACCTGCACTTCCAAGAATCTAGTCTACTGCATTCGCTGCTCACAATGTGGTCTTCTCTACGTTGGGGAAACAAAGCGTAGACTTGGCAACTGCTTCGCAGAACATCTACATTCTGCTCGCAAAAAAGACCCTAAACTACCTGCTGCCTGCCACTTCAATGCACCACCTTGCTCCCTCGCCAACATCTGCGTCTCCGGCTTGCTACAGTGTTCCAGTGAAGCCCAGTGCAAGCTGGAAGAACAACACCTCATTTTCCGCTTGGGGACCCTACAGCCCACCGGACTCAATGTTGAGTTCAATAATTTTAGGGCCTAAACTCTCCCATGTCCCAGCCCCCCACCCCACACACCAGGCCTTGTTACCACACAGCCTGCCACTACACACCCCCTGTTGTTAGTGACTAACAGTCCCCATTAACAACTATTCACCCTCCCAGCCTGATCGTTAGCAACTCCTTTGTCTGTCCAACCGTCTTTCTCTCTCTTTGGGCTCTATCCTATCGGTTACTCCCTACCCCACCCACCTCCCTATTTTCTGCATATAAACTGACATTTTCCCAGCCACCATCAGTTCTGAGGAAGGGTCACCTGACCCGAAACGTTAACTCTGTTTTCTCTTCCACAGATGCTGCCAGACCTGTTGAGCTTTTCCAGCAACTTTGTCTTTGTTCCTGATTTACAGCATCCGCAGTTCTTTTGGTTTTTTTTCTAAGGAATTCTCGTCCAACATCAGGGATCTGGCAGGTCAAACCTTGGAATGAGGCAAGGCAGTTTATCAAGTTGGTTAACAAGGCATACAGAATCCCGAATTTCTTAAATAGAAGCATTAAGTACAAAAGTAAAATTATCAACTACTCTTAGAGAGCACTGACTCAACTGCAATCCAAGTACTGTGTCCAATTCCAGGTACCCCACTTTTAGAAGGATATGAAGGCTTTAGAAAATAAAAAAAATTCAGGTAGTAAAAATTGGTCCCAGGAATAAGGGACTTCAGCTACATGAATAAACTGGGCAAAATGAAGTCTGTTTCCTTAAAGAGGTTGAGCATATTTGATTGAAGTATTAAAAATCATGAGGGGTTCAGACATAATGGAGAGAAATAAATTGTTTCTCTTGTTGTTAGGGCTGCCATCCAGAGGACAGAGTTAAGTGATATGTGAAAGAATCAACGATGACAAAAAATTTAATTATGCAAGTCATTACAATCTGGAATGCATTGGTTTGAGAGTTGTATTGAAGGCAGCGATTTGTTGATTTCAGAAGCAAGTTGGAGAAGAAGCTTCATCAGAAGCCTTTCTGCTCCTATGATGCTGCTTGGCCTGCTGTGTTCATCCAGCTCTGCAACTTGTTGTCTCGGATTCTCCAGCATCTGCAGTTCCTACTATCTCTGGAGAAGAAGCTGAAGGTTTAAAATCAAATGCATGATTACAGGGGCTGCAGGGGTTTCTGACCAGCTAAATTGTTCTTGCAGGGCTTCTGTACTGGAGCCGCTCTACAACTGGATGGATGATTAAGTCTAAGGCAAAGCAACAAAAGCTGGTTTGGGCTGCAGTAGGGTAGAGGTAGTGGACAGGTTAATACTAATGACAGTTGCATTCCAAATATGCATTGTAATATACATCTCAAATACAGCTTTCCCCTTATTCTCGTCTCTAGCCACTGAATTCTTCAGCAGCACTCTGTACAGAAGGAATTCCAAATGCAGTCTAGCAACAGCTTTATTGTACTGCTGCGGAGCCTTGCAGCTGACAACTACCCCATAAGCCTGGTACTGAAGTTGGGTCTTTGGGCCAGGCTGTGCTTAGTTACACACATTACGCCGAGGTTGGGGTAGGGCAGCAATACTGCAATAAGGGAATAATCAGCAATGGGCCAAAGACCAACATCAGCAGTTCCAAATAGTAAGGAATTTACCCAGAAATGAAACTAAAAGATTCCAGGAGAATTACAATAGATACACTTCGCTTAGGGATCCATCTTGAAGAAATCAGGCAAACAAAAGCATTACTCAAGCTAATCAAGTGAGAAGAGAGGAACATTTCAAGGAAAAAATGACACTTTAAGATGAATATACGTTTCTGCTAATATTTCTGCGTCTATCTGTTCCTTAGAATTAAAGTTTGAGAAACAAGGAAACACTGGGTTAATTCAAAAGATGACATTCAATGGAGATTGAAATGCTAGTTTGGTTTCTATAGAAGTTCCATAAAACCTGCGCACTCTGCTATTCGAATTGAGAATTTTTCTATAAAATAAACATGGACAAAGGAAGTGTTTCTCAAACTATTTTGGATAAAAGTGATGTAAATCATAATGAACCTAAAAACACCATTAACCCAACTAAATATTGATAATCTTTCCTGAAACAGAAGCATCAAACTAGATGTACCAATGTATCTCAAACCCTAGACGCTGCCCGACCTCTGAAACCCAGAGTTCAATCTGTGCAATCAATGGCACATCTTGCACAGGGGTTCATCTAAGTTGCAAGAAGTATCCATGACTCCTCCCCCTATAGCACAGGATGGCATTCCCCTTGGTCAAACAGCCCCATGACAACTTCCGTTACTTTACTTACAGTTGAATCTACATTGGTCAAAAACCCCGTTTATAATCTCATTTTCCAGCCCTTGGTCCATCGTCTTGTAAGCCTTGGTATAGCAAGTGGACATCTAAATATTTCTTAAAAGTTATGAAGCTTTCTGCTTCTACCACCCTTACAGGCATGGAGTTCCAGATTCCCACCACCTTAAGTGAAAACATTTTCCTTACATTCCCTGTAAACCTCCTACACCTTACCTTAAATGTATGCCCCCTAGTCACTTATTCCTCCACTAAGAGGGAACATTCCTACTCATCTACCTATGTCCCTCGATTTTATACAACTCCATGTCCCCCCAAGAGTCTTCTCTGCTCCAAGGAAAACAGCCCTCGTCCATTATTGTATCATTTAACTAAAGACTGTGATTAGTAGAAAATAGAAACTCTTCCCTCTTACTCACAAATCTGCTTTTTTTCCTACATTTCACTTTCCCTGTGCTACTTTAGAAATTTACATTTTTTCAAAAAACACCTGCACAGCTGAAACAGTCCCCAACAGGAGCTGCTCAACCACTCATGACTCTCCTGTGATGTCACTCTTACTTTCTTCTCCCTTCTTCACATTAGATTAATCTAGTCACAGTTCTCTTTCCCATAATTTTAGGTAGTGGGGACAGTCTCCAGGTTCTACTCTGTCACTCCATAATGGATAAGATGGGTTTGTACAACAATTGATGATCGTTGTCATGGCCACATTAACTGGGAGTAACTTTATAAATCAAGATTTATCAATTAAGGAAATGGTGAAACTTGCCCGAGAAACAAAACAGCAGGTTAACATCTTTAATGGTGGATACAACTAAGTGGAAAAATATGAAAGAAATGACAGGGAAGGAAAATTCAGGAGAGGTTATTAAAGTCTCTGGCACAGACACAAATAGGACAGTGTTTGGAAAAGGCTAGCAATCAAACACTGGAAAAACGAATGAAAATGAGAAGCGGGGTGAATACAGAACTGAAGGCATTATATCTGAATGCACGCAATATAACGAATAAGATAAATGAGCTTGCCGTCCAGATGGAAACTGGCAGGTATGACGTGGTAGGCATCACAGAGACGTGGCTGCAAGAGGATCAGGATTGGGAACTGAATATCCAAGTATATCCAAGGTGGGTTGCCTTATTAGTGAGAAATGAAATTAAGTCAATAGGAAGAAACAAAGTAGGGTCAGATGGTGTAGAATCTGTGTGGGTAGAATTGAGGAACCGCAAAAGTAAAAAACCGTAGTTGGGATTGTGTACAGGCCTCCAAACAGTAGTCAGGACCTGCGGCGCAAGATGCACCAGGAGATAGAAAAGGTGTGTAAGAAAGGCAAAGTTACAGTGATCATAGGGGATTTCAATATGCAGGTGGACTGGGAAAATCATGTTGGTAGTGGATTGCAAGAAGAGGAGTTTGTGGAATATCTACAAGATGGCTTTTTGGAGCAGCTCGTGGAGGAGCCCACAAGGGAACAGGCAATACTGGATTTGGTGTTGTGCAATGAGGCAGACTTGATAAGGAAGCTTAAGGTAAAGGAACCCTTAGGAGGCAGCGATAATAAGATGATAGAATTTATTCTGCAATTTGAGAGGGAGAAGATAGAATCGGAGGTAACAGTATTACAGCTGAATAAAGGTGACTACAGAGGTATATGAGGGAGGAGCTGGGCAGAATTGACTGGAAGAGGAGCCTAGCAGGAACAACAGTGGCAGGAGTTTCTGGGAATAATTCAGGAGACGCAGCAAAAATTCATCCCTAGGAAAAAGCAGCATGGTACTTGGAGGATGAGGCAACCACGGCTGACTAAGGAAGTCAGGGATAGCATAAAAGCAAAAGAGAAAGCATATAATGTGGCAAAGCTTACAAAGACCAACAGAGGACAAAAAAAAGTAGTAAGGAGGGAAGAAGGGAGAAGATTAAATATGAGGGTCAGCTATCCAGTAATATAAATGAAGACTGTAAAAGTTTCTTTAGGTATATAAAGGGCATGAGAGGCAAAAGTGGACATCGGACACTGGAAAATGACGGAGGAGAGATGGTAGTGGGGAAACAAGGAAGTGGCTGAGGAACTGAACAATTACTTCGCATCAGTCTTCACGGTGGAAGACATGAGTAATATCCCAAAAATTCAAGAAAGTCAGGGGCGGAGCTGGGTATGGTGGCCATCAACAAGGAAAAGGTGCTGGTAAAACTGATTGGCCTGAAGATGGACAAATCACCTGGACCAGATGGACTACACTCCCGAGTTCTAAAGGAGATAGCTGAAGAGATAGTGAAAATGTTAGCGGTGATCTTTCAGGAATCAGAGTCAGGGAGGTTCCCAGAGGACTGGAAAATGGCTAACGTGACACCCCTGTTTAAAAAGGGAGTAAGGCAAAAGACGGAAAATTACAGGCCGATTAACCTAACCTCAGTCATGGGTAAGATTTGAGTCCATTGTAAAGGATGAGATTGCTGAATGTTTGGAAGTGTATGGTAAAATAGGGCAAAGTCAGCATGGTTTCATCAAGGGGAGGTCACACCTGAAAAATCTGCTAGAATCTTAAGGCAGGGTAGACCAAGGAGAGCTAATGGATGTTATCTACCTGGACTTCAAGGCGGCCTTTGATAAGGTGCCACACAGGAAGCTGCTGAGTAAGATAAGGGCCCATGGTGTTAGAGGCAAGGTGCTAGCATGGATAGAAGATTGGCTGTCTGGCAGAAAGCAGAGTGTGGGGATGAGGGGGTCTTTCTCAGGATGGCAGCCAGTGACAAGTGGAGTTCTGCAAGGGTCAGTGCTGGGACCACAACTTTTCACATGGTACATTAACGATCTAGATGAAGGAACTGTGGGCATTCTGGCTAAGGTTGCAGATGATACAAAGACAGGTGGAGGGACAGGTAGTATTGAGGAGGTGGCGAGGCTGCAGAAGGATTTGGACAGGTTAGGAGGGTGGGCAAAGAAGTGCCAGATGGAGTTAAATGTCGGAAAGTGCGAGGTCATGCACTTTGGTAAGAAGAATGAAAGCATGGACTATTTTCTCAACGGGGAGAAAATTCAGAAGTCTGACTTGGCAAAGAGACTTGGGAGTTCTAGTCCAGGATTCTCTCAAGGTAAACTTGCAGTTTGAGTCAGTAGTCAGGAAGGCAAATGCAATGTTGGCATTTATTTTGAGTGGACTTGAATATAAAAGCAGGGATGTACTACTGAGGCTTTATAAGGCTCTGGTCAGGCCACATTTGGAGTATTGCGTGCAGTTTTGGGCCCCATATCTCAGGAAGGGTTCAGAGGAGGTTCACGAGAATGGAATGGAAAGCTTAACGTATGAGGAGCATTTGAGGACTCGGACTATACTCGTTGGAGTTTAGACGGATGAC